GGTTTGTTTCTGCTCCTGTAAAATGAATCTCAGGTGCACGGACTCCACATTGTGAACACTTGATGCAGCCTCTGATGTGGCCCCTGGGAGAAATCACGCTGGGCGCCGGGGGAGCGGAAGGCCAGAGCCCAGGCTGTGCAGGAGGAAGTCGGATGGGGTCAGCCTCTGTTCAGAGGCCGCCTTGGCTTTGTATACGTGGCTTTTCTCCTGGAGCCTTAGGGTTCTGCCAAGTATTCACTGAGCAACTACTACTATTTCCTTTCTTCCTTCCTTCCTTCCCTTTTTCTTTTTTTCCTTCTTTCCTTCCTTTTTTCTTTCCCGTTCTGTTGAGACAGGGTTTCACTATGTAGTTCAGGTGGTCTTTGAACTCACTATTGTAGCTCTGCCTGTCCTAAACCCATAGCAATCCTCCTGCCTCAGCCACCTTTTGAGTGCTGGGGTCACAGGGGTGCGCCACCACACTAGGCTTAATCTCCAATGTATAAATGCAAAAACCAACGCCCCAAGAGGTTCCACAGCCCCTGAAGAGCACCAGCCTGCAGGGAGCAGGGTGTAGCAGGGTGCCTGGGCAGCTAGGATGGTGCATGGGAAGAGCGCAGGTGGGACCAGGTGTGAGGGGACAGGGGCGGACTGCTGCCTGATGGGGTGGCGGGAGCAGGGTGACAGTGAGTTCAGGGATGACTGCCAACCTACCGGGGGCCTGACTCAGGCCAGGACATCCAGCTGCCGGGAACAAGGGCTGCAGGCAGACACACAGAGGGGTCAGTGTAATAACACTGTGCGTGGGTCCGAGATGCCCCCCGCCAGGTTCCTGAACCTGGGCCCTTGAACCTAAGGCCACCAGCAGCGCTCAAGGTTAAGGAGCTGCCTGCCTGGCGGGTGTGGTCTCGGCCCTGGCACATCACCCACCCCAAGCCAGGGCCTGTGCCCTGGGGACCCCGATTCTGCCACCCGCCAGATCAGAGGGTGGCACCGGCCCCCTGGGGCTGAGCTCTGACCTCCTCCTTTGCCCTCCCCGGCTCCAGATTTTCTCTGGTCTTCAAGAGGCTATGGTGCTGTGAATGTGGAAGCAAAATCCCTGAGACCCAGTGAGCGCCAGTACCCTGCAGGCTCCGGGCAGCGGCCAGGTCCGGGGCATGGTGCCCGTCTGTCCCAGCGCTTTGAGGGCTGTTGGCTCAGCCGCTGGGACAGGGTGGTGGCATTTCAGGACACGGAGCTTGAGCTGGTGGCAGGTTTCTTGGAACTGGTGGCAGGGAGATCTATATTAAGACCCTTCTGTCACCCCAAATAAATAGAGACTGAAATAAAGGTCGAGAGGAATGAGGCAAAACGCTTCTACATGGAACTTCTGCGAGCGGAGGGGACCTGAGAGAACAGAATGGCGTTTATTCGCTGAGCCCCAAGGTATTTGCTGAGACAATGGTACCTCTGTCCCGCAGACAGGCACTGGAAAGAGCAGTTTCTCTTTGAAGTGCGAGGCCGCCTAGCCGGGTAACCCACACCAGCTCTGCTTGGCTGGCTCCCCTGGCGTGGTGGCCAAGAGACGGGCCCATTCCAAGGGAGGTCAGATGAGTCACCTCGGGCCTGGCGTCATCCTCCCGGTGGCTTCTTGCTGGGTACCCTGACGTTCCCTTGCCCCGGCCAGGACCGTACTGAGGGGCCCAGGACAGGAGGGGCTGCTGGAAGGAGCTCAATCAGCAGAAACCCGGATGGGGGCGCTGGGTGCCGGTCATCGCAAACGTGAGAGGAGGGCGCAAAGGGCCCCAGGGTGCCGGACCTCCCTCCCGCACAGAGCGCCAGCCTGCAGCGCCTCCAGGCCGGCGAGGCCCTGGCGCGGTGTCTGCCCAAGGCAGTGGTGCAAGTTCTCCCTCCGAGGCTGAGTCTGAGCGTCCCACGTGACCCGCGTGAAGCGTTGGGACACACAGGACCCACGACAGTCTTCCCACAGACGCGCAACAGCCCTAAGGGCGCAGGGGTCAGGAATGGCTTTCAAGTTTGTATTACTCAAATTTCGCGGCAGTGGTGTTCAAGAGCGAGTTTCCACAGTTCCTGAAAATCTAACACTAACCACCGCTCCACCCCTTCGCCTGCGGCACGTAGACTGCACACTGGGTGTCTCCCTGCCAGCGCCAGGGATCTTCTAGAGGACTTACCTCCGAGACGGGGGATGGTGAGCAGATCTGGCCATCGCTGGCATAGGACCCTATGGGAGTTTGTGGGACAGGTACTGATGGACTCTCACCCATGGGGGATGGAACGCAGGGCCTTTGCACTGGGCTTCGCCCCACCTTTGTTTATATATTTGAGACAAGGTCCCGCCATGTTGCAAAAATGGGAAAACTGTCGCCTACTTCTGAACACACTGGCGATCTTTTCTTTGCAGGTGTGTGTCACACACTTTCTCCCACTTTACGACTTGTCTCTTCACTCTCAATGGCAACTTGATTAAGAGCCCTTAACTGAGCTGAAAGCCAGCATATCGGCTTTTACTTGTACTGGGCATCAAACCTAGTGCCTTTGCACTGAGCTATATCCTTAGCCTTTAACAACAACAAAAAAAATTTTTTTTTGAGACATGGTTCTTCTGAGTTGCTAAATTGCCCAGGCTGGAGTCAAACTTGGAATCCTCCTGCCTCGGCTTCCTGGAGTGCTGAGATTATAAGCATATACCACTACGCTCAGCAAATCTGTCAGCTTTTTATTTTTATGGTTAGTGCTTTTTATTTCCTACATAAACTGTTTCAAAGGGCAGAAAAATTGTTTTATTGTAGAAGCTGCATTATTTTACTCTTTACGTTTAGCACTATGATCCATTTAGAACTCATGTCAACCTATCCTGTTATAGGGATAGGACCCCAACAGGCAGGGATACTGCGGAGACGGTTCCCCTTCGAACAAAAGGAAGGTAACCTAGACTGTCTGCAGCAGCCCCTAGACCAGGTACACTCAGAGATTAGCCCAGTTCCTCTTCGTAAGAACTGTTCCAAGAAGGGCAGGTAAGACTTCGCACACCAACTCCCAAGACTTGCATTCCAGACCCAGCAATGCGGTGTCCTCAGTCAGGAGCAGCCACCTGGACGGGGTGAGGTGGGGCCGACTTCACTACCCCATGACAGCACCACTGCCCTGCACTCAGGGCCCCCCCACTCCTCAGGGTGGCTTTGTACCGTCTTCTTCTGCAAATACACTCACTGGTGTTTTGTAGTATTTCCTCTTCCTCTTTCTACAGTGGAGAGACCAGCCCAGGAAAGGGAGGGTAGGGGGCTGAAGACCACCCTGCACGGCCTATGGGAGGGAGGTTAAGGTGTCCCCCCACCGTGGGTACCCAGAATTATTATTATAGGCAAAAATCTTTTCTGTGCTGATTGAGTGGTCTGAGTGATAATTATTAGGATTTTACAGCTGACTAGTACTCATTTTCTCCACTTTCGCTATTTTTTCCCCTTTTAAAGGGACACAGGAAAAGACAGTAACGAAGTGGAGGCAGTGCTGGGAGGCAACGGATCCCACCCGAGTCTGGGAGCCCGGAGCACCCCTGCGGCTTCCCTCCCAGGCCTGGCCCCGGCAAGGCGTGTGGCAAACCCTCCAGGCAGGGACCCTGGGTGGACACTCCCTGAATGGAGGTGACTCAGGAGCCCAAGGGCAGCCACCCTTCACTGCAGAATCACAGGACCCCACGGTGACTGGGGAGATCGCAGGATCAAGCTGAGATCACCATGACTTTGAGGAGAGTTGATTTTTCTTGCTCTCTGCACTGCGCGCCCTCATTCCTGTCCAGGCTGTGCGGAGGAAGTACCGCCTCATCTAATAGGACCGTTCCTGCAGGACCCAGTTCTCTCTGGGTACTTGCAGGCCTTAATCCCAAAGTGACCAGCTCCTCTTTATCAAGGGTTAATGCGCTCAGCGCTTAGTATGCGCTGTGTACGATATTTAAATAATGTATTTATTTTATATATAACATCTTCGCTTCTCCTTTGGAGCCCTTCTCAGCCCGATCATGTTATTATGTACCCACCTGCTGTCCGTTCATCTGCAAGCCAGTTTCTTGGGCCTCTGGCTTCTGTCTAGCACTGAGTGTGCAGCGGGCGCCGTGCACACAGTAGGTGCACAGCACATGCTGGCTGAATGGGTGGCTTCTACAGGCGCTTCGTCCACCCGTCTCAAAGCACACAGGCAGGCGGCTCTATGACGTGGACGTCTTTTCGTCCAAGTCGGTGGAAGAGAGAAGGAACCAGGTGTGACAGTGCAGTCTGCATAATGTCCTCCCTGTCGTCTGCCGCAGACTTGCACTTTAGCACCTCTCCTGCTTCTTTCACTCGGGGCCCCCGGAGACGCCGTGGGGCCTCATGCTGAGCCTACCCACCCTGCCCGCCTTCCCAGCCCACAGCAAGCGCCTCACCGACAGAAGGCACGCCGCACTCTCCATGGCCCCGGAGGTCACAGCACTGCAGACGGCTCCTGCACCCGCTCAGCTCGCTGTGCGTGGGTGTGCTGCATGCCCTGTCTTAGATCACCTTAAAAATGGAGCCACCCACGGCACCGCTGGGCCACCGCTTCAGCCGTGTTGGATCATCTGTTACTTGTGGTGCACACGTGAGCAGAGAACGTAATCCAGCACTTCCAGGAACAGCCGGCCCTGCTTTGTCATACCTGTTGTGAGCTCATGTTACCAGATCAGGTACTGAAAACTCTCTGACGACCTGAACAAACAGTAGGGACGTTTTTAACTATCTTTAGTGTCCTTACATGTATTCACCGGGACAAAAATCTCTGAGTTTAACCCAAGAGTAAACTCCCCCGTCTCCGTGTGAGCGTTCTATTCAGATTCAGAGGCCAACCTTGCGAAGCTGGGTCTGGCGAGCGTCAGCGGGCACGGGATGCCTCGCTCCCCGCCCCCGATGCCCAGAGTGCCCCGAGGTGGCGCGGCACAGGCCGACATGTCCAGCCGGAAGGCACTCTCCAGCTAGCCGGGAGCCTGCAAGCACGACAGCGGCCGCTGGTCTTTTGGGTGAGCTTTATTGAGAGGTAAGGCAGGTTCACAAGGCTGCGGGTAAGCAGAGCACACTGCACGCGCGCCACAACTGGCCCTGACAGAGCAGAGCGCGCACAGCGAATACGCAGATGAGGCTTGAGGAGCCACCGCGGGAGCGTCCGGGAGTAAGGAGTGTCTACGGTCAAGTCACGAAGACGTCACAGCTCGCGGGGACACAGGCGGAGGAAGGTGACCTACTCCGCCGACACACCGAGTTGCCGGTGGGACAAAGAACACAGTGGAAAACATCTTGTGACCCTTCGTGTTTCAGAGAAATGGAATGTTTCCGTATTCACACTGTCTTTGGGTCACCGAAAGACATCCAGTGTCTAAGTAGCTTCTAAAGCAGGTGGTGTTCTCAGGCCACGGTACAGGACGGCATGCATTACTCCACACGAAGGTCGAACTCGGGACGGTTGTAACACACACGCCTCGGATTGTCTATTACACAAGTTTCGCTTTTTGGGGTGAGAGCAGGGGGAAACGAGGTGACTGGCGCCCCACAGCACCCACGCGTGCTCAGCACTGGGTGGGCGCAGACAGCCGAACGCTCACCGCCTGGACCGCAGAGGCCAACTGCTGCGGAAGGGCACAGGGGAGCGCCCTCCACAGAAACGCCCGAGGCGCCGGTAGGAGGCGCACACCTCCCCACTGGAGGGAGGAGGTCGGGCTAGGTCTACACAAGGGGCGTAGCTGTAACCGACTTTCAAAAATCAGATTACTTCTCCCATGAAAAATGAACACCTAAAAGATCTACGGGGGAAAGAAAATGACAGAACAACAAAAGCACTGGGATTTCATGAAGAGACTGGATCTTTTGGTCTACACCAGCCAGTATTTTAACTGCAAATTATTACACTCTGCCTTAAGCCATCTTAAAAACGCAGACTCCGAGGGGAAATATAGGCGTATTTTCAGGAATACTGCATCACATAAAACAATATAAAGGCCATTATTACCTTGCTTACAGAGCTACTAGAAAGACTTTTCAAACACAAAAAGGGAAGCTCGGGCACTGGGCCGGGGCAGGCATTCTTGCAGTTTCTGAGGCACTGACAATCTTCCCGGAGAAGCCCGTCTCCGGTCCCTCTGCATTTTCCCGACGGTGGGAGGGTGAGGTGACACACGCTGCACACGCCACGACGCGGCTGCCACAGAAGCGGTTACTCAGAGGGGAAATTACTCAACAGCAACACACAAGAGTTTTCCACACAGCGCTGTGCGACACGCAACGCCAGTCTTAAAACGTCCGCTGTGAAGGACAAGAGGATGCTGGCCTCGTCTTGGTGTCGTGCACAGGCGAGGACGCGCTGGCGAGGGCGAGGCGGCCACCCGGGCAGAGGCGGCCGCGGGCGCTCACTGTCCTTCCTTCTGGAGGGCAGCGTTGCGGCAGGTGGGGCAGATGCCATGCCCTTTAAGCCACTGCTTAAAGCACTGAAAAAGAGGAAACCAAGTCAGTCCACGCCTGCGGGACCGCTGGGGCCCAGTTCCCTGTGCCGCCGGACTCCTGGGCAGGCACGGTGACCGTCGCCACCAACCGTGGGGACGCCTGCTGCTGCCCACACTCGGATGCTACGACAGCAGCAGGACGAGACCCCGGGGGCAGTTAATCCCCCTTCAGAACAGGGCCGTGACGACGTGAGGCTTCTCACCCGCTTCTGGCTGGCCCTGCCTTCTCCCACAGCCCCGCTCCCCGCCGTGGGGCGTAGGCTGGCATTTGTTCTCAGTCCGCCCTTCTGCCCGCCCTGGCCCTGGCTTCTCGAATGTCCAACAGACCATGCGCTGCCACAAGGCCCTGTGTGCGGGAAGCTGGCGGCCCAGCACAGGACGCCCACCCCGCAGGAGCGCAGTGGCCATGCAGACAAGACTGCAAGCTTTCTCCGTTCCTTCCAGCTAACACTCTATGTCCCTCTCTCGGGGACAGTGAGACCCGACGCTCCTTCACGCAGCAGCACGCAGCACCCAGAACTGCCGGGTGGCTGCCACACGACCCGGGAATCCCTCAGGGCCGGGCGCGAGGGACCCAAGGAGGTTCAGCGCCCCTCCTTCACGTGGAAACCACCCTCTGCGCTGCGCTAAGCTGCAAACTGTCTCCCCGCTGATCTACGCAGTCCTCCAAGCAGTCACTTTTCAAGGAGCTAACACTGCTCCGAATGTCACCGGTGCAGCCGATGGCAGGAAGGACTCTCTGAGGCGCCCTGCCCGTCCATAGCACAGGGCTCTTGGGGAACACGGGCTCGGGGGTCACAGGAAACACCAGGCACCACGTAAAGGGAGCAAAGAGAACCCTTACCCCTTTGTGAAACTTGTGCCCACATTTCAGCACACGGATGTTTTTGGATTTGAACACCTCATGGCATATGTGACACGCGTTTGACTTTGGTGCCTGTGGAAACAAATGAAAGTAAAGATCAACTTTCTTTAGTTAATGACGTAAGCTTTTCACCGCTCATGACACGAATGACCTTCAAACATCTTTGCCACGAAGGGTGGCGAGTGATTCCCAACTGCGCTGGGCAGACAGATTGAAGAAACCTGACTCTGCTGTCGGTTTTGAGACGGGGTCTGTGCTAGTCCCCAGGCTGGCCTCACGCTCACGCTCCCCTTGCCTCAGCCTCCTCCGCAGGGGGAATACAGGGATGTGCCTGGCTAACAATCTTGTTTAAATCTTTTTTTTTTTTAAAGAAAAAGCAAACAAACAGGGCCAGGGATGTAACTCAGCGGCACAGCGCCTGCCTGGCAAGTGCAAAGTCCTGAGTTCAAGTCCTGGTACCAAAAAAAAAGCAAACAATCGATTTTAAAGTTAAAATTTTTTCAGAGGAAAACCGTTTTTACGGTTAACAGGGTCTAGGAAACACACCTGCAATGCCTATTTACCACCTATCATACCTCAAGAGCAGGACCACTTACACATTACAAGTCAATCATGCATCTAACCACCTAACAGGGTTTAAAATGACAACACAGCCACACCACAGACTACGGGTATCCGTAATCCCTGGCCAGAAAGCGGGTTGCAAGGGATCTCCGGAATAAAGGCAGGTGCCAAAGCAGTATTTATCACAGAATTCGATTTTTTAGAAAATACAGTGTGTCTACAGAGATGCTGAGGAGAGAGGCGATGAGAAACGGAAACAGTAACGGCTGCCCTGGTTAAGGGAGCGCTCACCCTGCTCCTCACCGTCCCCAGCGTCTCTGTGGACACCACGGCTCACGTCCTGCACGCAGAGCGCGGTCTCTGTGCGATGCGGGCCCCTCCGCCTCCCAGGCTGTGTGTGTGTGCGCGCACGCGTGTCGGGCCGAGCTGCAGCTGCACCTAAGGCCAGGCAGACCCTGAGCCGCAGGGTGGAATTTCACCCTCTATCCCAGAGCACTGACTGGGCCTGACTGAGTGCGGGGAACCCAGCTGCTCTCTGCTACCCAGAGCTCGAGGGTCAGGAAGACACGATGGGGTCAGCCCTGGGGAGCGCAGGGTGCGGCTTCTCGCAATTCCTCAGCAAAGCTCACAGCAGGCTTAGATGCAAAAATGTAAATTCACTTGACTGTTCCCTAAGGTGGAAAGATGGCTTCTTTGCTTGTTTGGAGACAGGGTCTCCTTCTGTAGTCCAGGCTGGCCTCAAACTTGCAGCGATCTGCCTGCCTCAGCCTCCCTAGTACTAGGATTACAGGCCTGAGCCACCACGTCCTGCTACAATATATTTCTAAGTAGGAAAAAAAACCAAACCAGAATTTAAAAAACTGAAATATCCTCTTCCAAAGGACATAGAAAATATGACTAACTTATCAATTTTGACTGACTTCATACATATATACAAAAGAGCTTATAAAAATACATACCAATGTGATTATACTGGTCAGAGTGGAGGCTTTTAGATCTTTTTGTATCGTATTGCACTGTACTGTATCGTGCTGAAGTCTTACTGTGTTGCTTAGACTACCCTCAAACTCTAAATCTTCCTGCCTCAGTCTCCTGAGTAGCTGCGATACAGTGCACTGTGCTTGGCTTAAGGTATTTAAATGCCCTTTTTATTTGTATTTTCTGAGTATTTTTTGTAATTTAAAAAGAAAAGGCTGCTTTTTAATTTTTTATAGACTACGTATGATTATCAGCTCCCAGTGTGAATATGTGATTTTTCTTCCTTATGTAAAGTTGGTAAAGTTTAAGTAAGTTTGTACATCTTCTTACCAACATCTCCTGCGTAGCAGGACTTGTGGGTGTCAGTCACAGACACCGCAGTGTGAATACCCTGATGACCCTGCTGGCGGGAGGCCCCTGAGCACAGGGACCCTGCCAAGCCCCGGGTGGCAGGGGCTGGGGCAGTGTGGCAGCGAGGCTCTTGCTCGGCTGCAGGCAGGGAGGAGGCTCTGGGAGCCGAGAGCGTGCGGGGCGCACGGGGCTCAGAGGGCACAGACAGGGAGCAGGGCACAGGAGGACAAAGGCAGCTCTCACAGACGCGCCACGAGCTTAGGCCAATGCGGAGCACGCTCGAGAAGCTGGAGTGCCGTGAGGTCTGTGGGTCCTTCCCTGCCCAGGGCCCTGGCACCGCATCCACACAGTGGGAAAATCCAACCGACAGCCTCAGGCCGAGCCACACAGATGCTGTCGCCCTCGCCGCCGCATGTGCAGCTCCCAGGGAGCGTCTGGCACAGGCCGGTCAGTGCGGCGAGATCAGGAAAGCCACCACCCACAGCCTGCTTGGGTTCACTTCCGGCCTTCCGGCAGCCAGGCACACGCGGACAGGCCGGGCCCGCCTCCGTTTCCTTACTATCACCCAGAGACAACTCAGGCCACACGCCACACAGCCTTTACTGTCTAAAAGGAAAATAACGTCAATCAGCGAAATTTTGGGCATATTCGGCCCATGCCTGGATCCCTTGAAGTGCTCTAGGGACGCGGAGTGGCACCCGACCCCACGGCCAGCACGGGCTCCAGGTGCTAAGCGAGCAACTCAGTGTGTGTGATTCCAAAGAATAAAATAGTCATGAAATGTTCTTCCCATGTAGTCAAAATACAGCACTTGGCGCAAAAAAATCAACACATGACCATCTGCAAGAAAACAAGAGCGGGCAGAGAGGCCAGGTCCCAGAGAGCAGAGTCGGGCCACACCACACAGGGGTCCCTGCTCCGGGCCCGTGGTTCTCAGCCCTTCACCGCTGTCCTAACGCCACCTGCTCACTCTAATCTTAGGGGCAAATACACTAGGTCTAGTACAGAGAAAGGGGGCTACACAGTTAGTTACCCATGCAGTGGCAGCTCCTGTTTTCAGTCCGTTGATTGTGGTTGATAGTCCAGTGGGCATTGCAGGTAGACTCCGGGAAGATGTGGTCGCAGCAGCAGCAGAGCGGCCGCTGGGTGTCCCTTTGTCCTTTCCTGGATTTGGCTACAGAGACAAGGAGAGTGGGGATCAGGCAGAAGGAAGCAAAGCTTAGTGACCTATAAGCTGGACCATCATCCATCTCTAGTGAATGGTTCTCTGTATTTCAGTGTGAAGCTTTCGTATTTTTTAAACAGTAAGTGAATAAAGGTGACATGGAACTTTTCGGAAATACCTTCTTCCCTTTCTGTTCATCTAAAATGTGTTCCGTCACTTTCTGGACGACCTCACCAATGCTCAGTCCTGCAAGTGACTTCTTGTTCTTGTTTCGAACTTTTTTAATGAAACCAGCAAGCTCAGTGCTGAAAGGGAACATGAGCAATAAGTGACAATAGAAAAATCAAAGTGTCTACTGCTAAGAAATACAGTGTGCTAATAGTACCCCCCAGCGCAAGCCTGGTAACGAAAACATATACACAAGTCAGTAAATTGTAGACCACAAGCCAACAGTAAAAACCATCCGTGAAAAGCAAACTATTTTAACACAGATCATTCTCAGTAATTATGAAAATTTCAGTATTATTTTAAAAAACAGATATACATCAAATTCCAAAGCAACAGTGTATCTGCTAGGTCTATCTGCTTCTCATTTGAAATCAGTAAAATGTCTACTCAAGAACAAACTAGTTTTGCAGACTTCCTCCCTTGAGAAAAAAATCTAACAAAGTTCAAAGCATGACTATTTTGTAAGTATCATTAAATGAGAGTTATACCATCAGTCAACAGAACCTGCTATCTATACCACTAATATCCCAACTATTTCAGCTTTCAGGAAATTAAGACACATTTATTTGATTTTTTTCTTTTTCTCTCTCTTTTTTTTTTTTTTGGTGTTTTTGAGTCAGGGTCTCGCTATGTAGTTCAGGCTGGCCCTGAGCTCACTTTGTAGCCCAGGCTGGTCTTGAACTCACAACAATCCTCCTGCCTCAGCCTCCTGAGTGCTGGATGACAGGTGTGCGCCACCACACCCAGCTGATTTTTTAAAATCTCTGACAAATTTAATCAAGATTGCAAACAATTTTATTTGCAAGGTACTTCTGGTAATCACAAATCTGATATTTTTACAAGTGGCATAAGAGCCCTTGAGAGATTTACAATGTTTCTCAAACTTAGGGCGGGCAAAACAGGCCCCTATGTAGACAAAACATACTTATCTTCAAATGGACAGGGCTCCACTGAGAAATGCAAACCATTAATTCCAGCCAATCACATTGCAATGATTACTCTGTTTCCAAATGTGAATTCAAAGCCTGTAATTAACACTGTCTGCATAAGAATCGCAAGGCAGGTGGGACTCTGTGTGGGGACCTCGCTTCCTCCTGCCCACTACAGCCTCACCCCCCAGGTGGAGGCTCAGCAACGACCGCCTGCAGGCCTCAGCTCTGCCAGGCTCCCAGGCGCTATGGGACCCAGTCTTTTCTCGCACTGTTAGCAGTCAGGGGCCGGATCTACAAGGGGTACTTGCTGCTACTTTCTGTGCTTTAGGCGATTTTCATACAAAAATTATACAAAATTATTTTACCGTTTACTCACTGACCCCATCACAACGCCTGTGGGAGAGCGCTGAGCTCAACATCTCAGCAAACTGCCATGGGCTTCCTGGGAGTGTTACCCAGGGGTCACCATTTTCAATCTGATTTTCTTCTTTTTAAACAGGGTCTCACTATGCATTCAGGCTGGCACTGAGGTCACTTTGTAGCCCAGACTGGCCTCGAACTCACAAGGATCCTCTTGCCTCAGCCTCCCAAGTGCTGGGATCATGGGTGTGCACCAACATGCCTGACTACCATTCTCAATCTAGACACATTTGAATTTTTAGTTGCGAGCGGAGGCTTAGCCTTTGTCCAGTATGTACCGTCCAGTACGTGTGAGGCTCTGGGTCTCCGCCCCTGCCGTGCACCTTCCCTCAACACAAAGCTTACCTCTAGCTTATAAAATGCAGCAGCTGCCTTTCTGAGCAGAGCAGCTCTGCAGTCCTTCCCATGCCCACCCTCCCTGGCTGTGACTGCATGATGGCCGCTGCACACTCGTACCTGCTATAGCACGGGAATATTGACGACAGCTGCTCCATAATACTGTTGAATGGTTTCTTTGGAGACTGGCCTGAGCGGGGAGTGCGCCCCGTAGGAACAGGCCGTTTGCGATCTTCGTCGGGGCTTGGGACTGACCGAGCTGCCTGGCTGGCCCTCTTAGACTCTGCCGGTGGGGCCGCTTTTGGCTGACGAGAGGGCGCTGGTGCAGAAGGGGCCTCTCTAGGGCAAACCTCCCTGCGGCCCGCCCCAGGAGCAGGTGCAGGTACAGGTGCAGGCGCAGGCGCAGGAGCAGGTGCAGGCGCAGGCGCAGGCGCAGGCGCAGGTGCAGGTGCAGGCACAGGTGCAGGTGCGCTGCTTGCAGAAGTCTGGGATGCCTGTTTCTCAGCGCCTGGAGGCTTTGGGGCTGACTGAGGCTGGATCTGTGAACACAGATGCCGGAGTCAGATCCTTCAGACTGGTGAGAGTGGGGAGGAGCAACCCCACACGCAGGGAGGATGACTCTCGTGGCCCTGAGGACATGCACAGAAGACTTCCGTGCGAGAGGTGCCATTTGTTTGAGAAGAATTACTGACTATACCTTGTTAGTTGTCAGGACAAGGGCGGATTTGTGATTTCCAACTCCATACTTTGTACAGTTAGAAAGCCTGCCGCAGGGGGAACCATTCAGCTGCCCAGGGCGCCCGCCAGCAGCCGCCTCCTCGCACGCCCCTCCCGGCGGCACCCTCCCTGACTGATGGACACTGCCGCCCGGCTCCCCAAGTTGTCTCACCCAGCTGCTTGTTTCCAAAATGTAGTTCTCACTTCTGAGCTCCCTAAGCGCGGACCCCCTTTGCGTGTTGCTGAGGCCCGACCACAGCACACTCTCCCAGGCCTCTGTGACTGTGCTCCCCGCTGAGCTATGCCCACTTTCTGTTTTTAAAGTTTTTTTGTACTGGGAGCTAAACTCAGGACCTAGCACCTGCCAAGCAGGCGCTGAGCCACTGAGCTGTGTGCCCAGCTGAACGCCCACTTTCTGGTTTCCAGTGCATAGCTCTTCCTGAGACCCCTATCTGCACATCCGCTCGGGCCATGCCAGGGTGACCCCAACTCAGCGTCTGGCACAGTCTTCCAGGCCCACCTTGGGCTCCTCGCACATCCCACTCTGCCCCCCTCACGTGGGCAGCACGGCTCCTCCACACGCCCCTCCTAAGCCTCCCACGCGTGTCCTCCCCGGCACTCTGCTGCCGCGCCCGACACAGCTCCCAGAGGAGGCAGCGAGCGGCCACCTGAGCTCGCTCCACCCTCATCACCCCTTCTCCACACTGCGGGCCAGTGCATCGGAGCAGTTCAGATCTGCTGCCCTTCCTCTCCCGAAACCTGGCTTCCCAGGGACCACAGGAGTCAAAGCTGTTCAGCACGGCTTAAGAGACCCGGCCTCTCTGGCTCCTGGCCCTGACTGCTCTATGGTTACTGTCCCTGCAGCCCTCTTTGTCAAAATGAACTTCTTTTAGAGCCAAGAACATAGCAGGCTGCGGCTCTCCTCCGGGCCTTCCAATACGCTGCTCCTTCCATCTGGACAACAACCCCCAAGCACAACATCCTTTGGAAATCCCTCCCTCTACGCTTCCCCGGACCCGCTCCTCCTGCAGCTTGCTGGCTCACTATTGAAGGCTTCTGATGGGCACTCTCATGTGGAGGCCAGGTGCCCTGGGCCCTCGTACCGGTGCCACTACTGTGTCCTGCCCTGGAACCCTCGCTGCACAGCCCGGGGCTGGGGCCTTCCAGGCTGTCCTCTCCGATGGCCCAGCCCACGTGTGAGCTTGACCTCCACTCAACACCCAGCAGAGGAATGAGACAGGAATCGGACGCAAAGTAAACGGCTTTCGGGGACACTTACTACGCAAGCTCTTGGCACGCTGAGATCACAAGGCTTTGGATATGAAATTTCCTTTGGGTATTTATAAAATGACGTAACTAAAATTATGAATTAACAGTACAATAATCTATTGAGATCCAAAGTTTTTTCTTTCCATACCTGCTGTAAGAACTTGGAAAAGCTGCACATGAGCAGTGATCTGTAATTGTGAATAAAACTGTGTTTCTTAATCTAATGGAGAGAAAAGGTCCAGATCTCAAAAGAATTATTGTACTTAGTTCGTAGGGGGCTGAGATCTCCTGGACGCGGAGAAGGCCAAGGGCGGGCCCTGCAGCGGGGACAGCGTCCAGGAGGGCCAAGAGTCCAGGCAACGTTTGGCAACAGCAGGAAGACGCAAGTGAAGCGCCAGGGGCAGCATCGCTGCCCTTTCTAGGAACCAGAAGCATTCAGCGACCAACACAACATGCTAACCTCCGCCTCGAATCAGTTCTTTAACAGTCTTTCAGTTCTTAATAGTGTGGTCTTATTTTTCTCTAATTCATCTGTTTTGTGTTCTTAGAAATACGTACCCCAGAATACAACAGAGACACACTATGGTCAGCTACACCGTAAAGTCCACAAAATAAAATTAATGGTAGTCTTTGCTGTGTTGCGAATTTTAAAATAAAAAAACAAGGTTTGGGAATCACAATTAAACTGCAGTAAAAAATGGTGTGCCAGAGCCATAAGGACCCTAGGTCCAGTAGCATGTATTCTGTTATTTGACAAGGAAATGGATCTGATTCTGGTCTCATGCCCCAAGTATGCACGAGTGAGCAAAATCCCAGCTGCTAATGAAGTGACACCGGGGGCCCTGCCACACCTGCATTTATTCCAGTGCTGGGATACTGCTCCCCATACACCCGCACACCCATGCCAGCATCCAGAGAGGAAAGGAGTCCGCGCAGTGACAGGCAGTGGCAGGCGCGCTCCAGCCCTGCCCTCATGCAGAGTGAGGATGTTTAAAGCTTGAGAGGGTGGCACGAAGAGTGATGAAAACAAGAAGGCAACTGTGAATCCATGTGCAGCAGACATGACAAACTCCTCCGGCCAGGTACAGACTATTGTTCACTGTTTTCTTAGGAGTTAGAGCAACGGACTTACCACTTTGCAGGCAGGAAATGAAAGCTCCGAAATCCGCACTTGGGGAAGTTCCCGGAGCCGAGACCCATCTTGAATTGCTCTAATTTGGTCTTCAAACTGAGACTGTGGGCAGAAGAGAAAATTAAAGTTTTTCTAACCTTCCACGGGAAAACTGTAATTTTTCAGTTAATTCTTTTTTCTTACTATTCGTGACAAATGGTCAAAGTTAGGTACAAGGCATGAAGACAGTTATTTCTTATAAGAAAAGAAGTTCAAAATAGGACCTCATTTCTTGGAATATTCTAAAGCTTCGTTAGATGTAACTTCTCTAATCTTCCCATACAGAGGCAAAGTTTACGATAGTTCTTGCTTTTAAAACGGTGCTGGGGATTGAACCCAGGACACCCTGTGTGCTAGGAAAGCCCTCCTATCACTGAGCTACACGCCAGTACCAAGAGAACTACTTACTTAAGAAAATGCCATTAATTCATGAAAAATTCCTAATAATTTCAACAAAAATTATGACTTCAGTTGCCTGAGCGCTATCATAGAGATTCTGACAGAATTATGACATATTTTATAGCTTACCTTTGCTTTTGTAATTTCTGTTGCAACATTAGAAATAAATGATTGCCATGAAAGTATATCAGACTCCTTGTTGGGATATGCCGCAGAAGTGCTGAAAAGGCAATTAACAAATATGAAACTGCTTAATATTAACTGTGGTAATTAAAATATCTGAACGTAAGTAAACAAACGTGAGTGAAAAATACATTTAACATGCTCGCTCGCTCTTTCTCTCTCTCTCACACACACACACAATTATTTTTAAAGAGCTGTGTTATTTTAGCTGGGAATGGCAGCATATGCCTTAATCCCAGTATTCTGGGAGGCTGAGGCAGGCAATCACAAGTTCAAACCTTGGCTGGGCACTCGGTGATTTAGTGAGACCCTGTCTCAAAAAAAAAAAACACACACTAAAAAGCAAAGTCTCACTTTACAGCTCAGGCTGGCCTTAAACTTGCATCAATCTTCCTGCCTCAGCCAAAAGGGATGGAGGTACAGCTCAGTAGGAAGGCCCTGGGTTCAGTTCCCAGAACTTGGGGTGTAGGGGCGGGCTGAGGGGTGTGCCTGTATTTTGCAAACTTGCTACTAGAGACAATTTGGGAAAATCTTAGTTATTGCTATAACAACAACAAACCTTAAACAACTGGGTAGAAAAAATGTTCTCATGAGATTTAATTTCTTTCCTCAGATTTGAAAATTTTATCATTCTTCATTTGACATTTTCACATTATAGGCTGTCTTTGCATTTAAAACTTTTTTTACAAAAGAAAATTAAGTAAATTGGGCATGGTGGTGCATACTTATAACCCCAGCACTTGGAAGGCTGAGGCAGGAGGATTGCCAAGTGTTTGAGACCAGCCTGGGCTACACAGTGAGCTCAAGGCCAGCCTGACTACATAGGGAGACCCTGTCTCAAAAACAACAACGAAAAAAAACTAAAAAGAGAAAAAAAGGGAAAGACAGCCAAGAACATTCAAACCTTTTCAATAAGACCTAACCTGAACTCCCACGTTACTATGAAACTAAGGGATATGAGATTGAGATAAATTTACGACCACAGCGCTTCACTGATCTGGTATGTCAAAAGTGACAAATACCCTTCCTGAAAAGATGAATAACATCAATCTGTGATCATGACAGTTCTTCTCACACAGATTAAAAAATCCTGGAGTGTTTTTCAAGCCTAAGTTTTTTGGAAACTTTATGTTATCAGTACACGTTTGCAGCTCAGGGGGTTTACAACCATCTTGGGGAGTGGTTACGCATACAGAGCACAGCTTTTTAAAAATCCCCTCCCCTTCTCCCTCCTCCTCCAGTTCCTGCACCCCGTTTTCATTCTTACTGCTGTTACTGGCCTTAGCTCACGCATGACCGAGGTTACTGGGCTCCTACGCACGGGACATCTTTACTCCACTTACCTCCCCTTCCCTCCCCTCATTCCTCACGCTTTCCCCTCGCTGGTTTCTTTTGCTATCCTTCGATGAACAGGGAGAGGCTGCTCAGCATCCCCAAGAAATAATCTACATAATACCACAAGGTTTGATAGAAGGAGGCAAAACTATTGCACTGAATGAGGTCTGAGGCATCAGTTGCCCAGGTAACAGCCAGCGCTGAGTTCGTCCTTATCAGAGGTGTCTGGGCGCTGTCTGGTCTCAGTCTCAGCAATACTAGTCCTGTGATCTAAATCCACACACCCACTTACCTTTAATCAGAAGTTTTCTTAGTGAAAAAAAATGGATCTTGAAAATGAAGATAAACGACTATACTAAAACTTTCTTCAAGTTGGGAGGGGGAGCACACACCTGCAGTCCCCTCACTTGGGAAGCTAAGGGAAGAGGATCGCCCCGAGTTTGAGCTCAGCATCAGGTGCACAGTGATTTCAAGGCCAGCCTGAACTACACAGCAAGACTCTGTCTCAGAAGAAAACCACCCCAAAACAAAAACTTCTTCCATAACCCAATCTCTGGTTCAACTCTGAGGGTCTGAAATTTTAATCAAAAAGACAAGCACTAGCAAGAATGAAAAAGCTGGGGCTGAAAATGTAAAACCTATGTGGAGAATATGATAAACAGACCAGACGGAAAGCAATCCCGTGTGTGAGAAGCTACACGGGGCTGGAGTGTAGCCCAAGGTAGACTTACCTACCATGCTCGAGGCCCTGGGCTCCAGCCCCAGCACCGTAAAAACACAAAAACTGAACAAACTGCCCTTCACAGTAACATTCCCACACTCCGCCACAGAGACTGTCAAATAAGGTACTGTGGAAAGCAACTAGGCAAACAGTTTTACGAGCCTTGAAAATACCATCTTTGTTTCAGATTTTTTCTTCATGGAAATGACTAATCATGTGCGCAGGGACTTAACTATAAGAATGCTCACTGTAGTACAGCTTATATTAACAGAAATTTGCAAATGATTCAACTATCCCACCTCAATGGTGTTGGATAAACCATGATGTCTGTAGGCTGGAATATTACTCAACCTTTTAAAATCAGGTTGAAGAACTATAATTAACAATATGAAGAAAATCTCCTGTATAGTTCTTAGTGAAAAAAAGTATAAGGTCTGCAGCAAGATTCCTGCTGCCAGTACTGACGGTTGGGGAGAGGACACGAACTGGTTGTGGGGTCCCAATGCGACGGGAGGCTGGAGAGAAAAAGCTACAAAGAATGGCTTTCACCCCAGATGGCTCACTTGAGATGTTAGTAAGAATTGCCTCCTCAGTTTCTACAGCCATGAAGAGAAGGAGGCCATGGAGAGAAAACAAAGAGACCAAGAAAAAGCAGCTGCTTTTGTTGCAGCACTAAGAGAAACAGACCCCAAGTCTGATTCCTGGGGCCCCAAGAAGAACTTGACGACTGCATTCATCTGCTACCACTGTTAAAGGCTAGGCCACCTCAAGAGGAACTGCCCTAAGAGGCCCCCTGGGCCATGCCCTGAATACAAAGGTGACCACTGGAGGTTGGTCTGCCCTCTGAAGTGGAGGCCCCAAAGCCCAGACCTATCCTACCAGTTAGTCCAACAGGAATGAGGGGGCACAGGGCATACTCTGCCTTCTCCCTCTGGCCAGACTGTCATCTCCATGGAGGAGCCCTGGGTAATCATGACTACGGAGGAAGAAGAAAACAGCCTGTTGCTAGACACAGGTGCAAGTCTCTCAGTCCTTCTTTTCAATCCTGGCCTGCCTTCCAGCCGTCACACCTCAGTGAAAGGAGTCACTGGTGAGGTAATATGTTATTTTTGACAACCCTTAGGCTGTAACTACTTGTTAGATCCTTCTTGCGTTATCTCTGTCTTCCTGAGAAACCACTTTGAAGATACCACCATGTATTATAGGAGCCAATGATATTTTCCTACTAATCTATCCATAACTCTGCAATGTTTGTATTGTTCCTATCCTATTTTGTAAATGGGTGTATGTTTATTATTATGTGTTTCCTACAACAACCGCTGAGGATAGTTAATGATTATTCAATAGATCACTCATGTATAGCTCTATTTATTTTCTTTAGAAACCACTTTGAAGATACCAAAGTATAGTACAATAGGTCACTCATGTATAGCTCTATTTATTTTCTTTAGAAACCACTTTGAAGATACCAAAGTATAGTACAACAACTATTGATAATCTCCTACCTCTTTTGTCTGTAACTCACTCTTATTTGTCTATTTGTTTTCCTGAGAAACTATCTTGTAGATAACAATATGTAAAACAATAACCATTGATAATTTCCTACCACTCTGTCTGCAACTTGGTAAGCCCCCCTTATTATGTTATCCTTCTTTTACTCTTTAAAAAGAAAAAAAAAAAAAAAAAAAAGTATAAACTTTTTTTTTTTTGGTCTTTTTGAGGCAGGGTCTCACTATGCAGTTCAGGCTGACCTTGAGCTCACTTTGTAGTCCAGGCTGGTCTCGAACTCGCAATGATCCTCCTGCCTCAGTCTCTCAAGTGCTGGGATTACAGGTATGTGCCACCACGCCAGACTAAACTTTCATTTTTTCCCAAATACTTAATGAATTTGTTCCAAAGTCTTAACTAGTGAGACCTTCATTCAGAATTATGATTGATTTTCTAAATTAATTTTGATTGTATGTTTTGATTTTCCACAAGTGAACATATTGTATAACTATCAAAAAGTAAAATGGTCCTGGTATTTTAAAAAAAAGTTGTTTTCAAGGCCTTCTCTCCCCATTTCCTAAGTGACATTCGGGAAGCACACGGGGGGAGCCACACTACCTGTTCATGAGATTCTTAAGGTAGGCTTCAGCTTTTGATGCCATGGTCTGCAACTTAAATATTTCACCCTCCTTCCAGTTTTCAAGCACAGATACCTGCCAACAGATCAGAGGACGTTTAAATATTTTATAAATAAATACTCGGAACTATTTTAAGGGTTAAAATAGAAACAATCCAAGCCACTTTCCAGTTTCTCCTTAAATGAGTCCTGACAAGTTCCTGAGAACTGGAGGAGGTTATAAGTTCATCCAGGTGAACACAAATTAAAACGTTAGGATTTGAAAATAGTGTAGCAAAATTACACTAGCATCATATTTATCTCGGAGCCCTTCTCACAGACACGACTGCACATGGCTTTCTGCTTATACCACACACGAGCACGGCCAGGGGAGCCATGTGCACACGTGGGGGGCACAGGACCCCCCTGGGCCACAGAGTAAGCCCTGGCAGCGTGCTCCTCCAAGGAGCTGCTCGGCTCCCCGGCTTCCCCACAAACCACGTGGCCATTTTTGTAAGAATCACTGCAGGAAATGTAAAGCAGCCTTGCTTAACACATTCCTATGGGCCCAAACCTCCAGTGATACACGCGTGACTGACACGCAATGGGACTGCCATGCATGTACCATGAGTGGTTCAAGCCAGCCAGAATGTAACACATTCAAATCAGAGCTGCTCAGCACATGAGGTACAGATTAGAGCCCCACTGTGAACTTGTGAGTCCCAGGGTCAGTGACCTCGGCGGCAGGGGCCCCCAGGGACAGCACGGACTACGCAAAGTCGGGAGTGCAGATGTGGAGAAGGGGCCATGAAGCCTGCACACTTTAGCTCCACTCCCCTCTAGAAGCAACAGCGTGGTCGAATTCAACTAAAAAGCCTAATGTTTGCAGACTGCATCAGTTAATCCTTTTCTTATTTCTCTTGAACAATTAGACACCTATACCGATAAATTCCATTTGTCTCCTCAGCCAGGAAAAAACATACACAACCATGTTTTAGAAATAAAGAAAAAGCCAGACATCATTTTCATTTTTGTCTCAGTGGTTTCTCAAACAGTACACAAACATTGGTATATATTTTTCTAGGACAGTGGTGAAGGGCGGAGTGTATATTCAACAAGTGGGATATTTTCACGTGCTTTTCAAGGGTTGGCAATGCTTTGTGTTGACTACTTCACGGCACATCAGTTGATTAAGTAAGACAGAGCTATTCAAAATGTACAGTTTGAGAAATGACTGAACTGCACTAATAAAAAGCAGGTCACACAATCTGGCATACATTATGAGTGCTTCTATACAGTAACATAAAAGGTACAGGCAAGGGAAAAGCATTGTTATTTTAGGGTGATAGGATACCCCTTACCTCCATCCTTCTCGGTAACATCCCTATCCTCACATGTAATTAAAGAAACATGAAAGCAAACAAATGGCTTCCCGCCGTATCTACCGGTCGCCAAGTGACGCGGTCTCACCTCGGCAACCAGAGCCCTCTGGTGACTCTCTTCATACAGTTCTTTCCCATTCCTTATATTGTCTTCTATTCTCATCTTCTCTTTTGTATATGTGCTTCTGCAAATATCAGAAGAAAAAAAACCTTGAAAATAAATCTAGCCAGTGAAAGGGCAAAGGCTTCATGCCAGGTCAGCTTTGAGAGCAGGTCCTGACATCACCTATTCCAGACCCACTTCCTGCCTCGGCGGGTCACGTGACATACAATACTCAGCTGTACGCTCTGTGCTCTACAAATCGTCAAAGGAAGACACAAAATCTACCGGGAAGACACAAAATCAAGACAGTTCATCACTGAGTACTCAATGGGCTGCTGAGAAACAGGAGGGCTCCGTACCAGTTCACAGATTTACAACAGTAGGGACAGTATAATCTGGCTATTTTGATCAAATCTTATGAAACTAACTCTCATCTTTTGAGCCAGATATTCTATATTGCCAAGGAAATGATCCAATGGAAAAAAGTAATCTGTGAAGAGTTGTTCAGTCATAGTTTTCTTTTTCTTGACAGAGTTTTACTATGTAGCCCAGGCTAGTGTCAAATTCATGGCAATCCTCCTGCCTCAGCCTCCCAAATGCTGAGATTACAGGCCTGCACTACTACACTTGGCTCATGGTCATACTTCTAAAACAGGAAAAAAAATGGAAACAAAACAAAATGTCCAGTAAAAGGGCAACTAAAAAACAGAAGCCATGAACTAGTAGGAGAATGGAAATGCATGTGTGGAACAGTATGAAATGAGAAAAGCAAGATCCAATTGCTTACTACTGGTATTCTGGTTACCACGTTGGGAAAACATGTAATGTCCATTAGTAAAGAGGAAAAGCAAGCTCTTTACAGGACCCATAATAAAAGTTCCTTAGTGAAACAATAATTACAGAGCAACAAGCACAACAAACTACCATTAACATAAAAGTTTCTCTTTGTTTCTTTTTTTGGCACTGCTGGGAATGGAACGCACACTGACCCTACATATGCCAGGCAAGTACTTCTGCCGCTGAGCTACCTCCCAGCCTGAGAGAAAACTTTTCAAATACATTTTTAGTTTTAAGTTAATTCAGGAAAATAAGGGGTATAATTGACAGAAATAAATTCAGGATATTTTATACTGACAGTGGAAAATAAAAGCAGAAATATGGTAAAATTAAAATGCTTAAATATGTTTATTTATTGGTTTAAAATGAAATAAGCAAAATAAATATATAATTATTTAAAAGAGATAGGTAAGCAACAATATATTTAGAAGTCTAGTGAGCTTATCTCTGATTGCAACAGTGTAAAATATTAAAGTAAATTTAAGCTTAATTTGCCTGTTTTTAAGGACTGGATTCGGATGCAATTCGTCCACTCCATCAAGGTCCCAGGGAGTCCTATAAAAACAGAGTAACCAAATTCTAATTAATATTCAGATTTTTTTCAACACAACTCTACACAGTGAATTGTACCCACATCCATATAAGCATTTCTCCAATGTTCCACGTTTGTACATTTTGTTTCATTTCTAGCATCTTATACACAGGCAAAGAACTTGCAGTCCTTTTCGTGCTGGGGAATTTCCCTTTGTGCCCTGAAGGACACACTAAGGCACAGCTTGCAGACCACCCCACCTACGGCAAAGCGTGCCTTAGATGCTTTACACCTGGCACAGCCATCAGTGTCACACTGGAAGCAGCCTGCAACTCTTCACATGGGAGCGGCGCACATCACCCACCATGACGGCCCCCAGGACACGGTCTCAGACTGTGAGCAACAGCAGCCCGGGGTGTCAGCCTCTTTCTCCCACCACCTCACACACCTGTGCAGCCACTGCCACCTACTGACCCCGCCTACTGACCCCAAGCACAGCCAGCTGGACGACCATTCTACCTCTTCGGGACAAAGCCTCCTCCCTCCCCCATGTCCTCCATACTGTCACAGAACTCCGGCATCTTTCAGAGCCACCTCTGGATTGTGCCACTGCCCCAAAGATGGGGTAAACTTTGAGTTCTAGTCATGTTTTAATGGGTAAGTGAGATGAAAAGTGTAGACACCAATGGAATCATTCCTCACACCTTTTGTGCTTCTCTAAAAAGGGATTCAAAAAGATCTTGAGGTTTTACTTTAATTTAGTCTAGTTAGACAGTACATCTAAAGTGAACACATAAAAATATAAGAAACAAAATATTTCCACGCCTTTTCCATGGTATGGGGGAGTGAACTCGTGAGACTGCACTATATCAAGCCTTTTTGTAGTTTTCATTTTGAGACGGGGGTCTCAATAAGCTGCTGAATCTCCCAGATTTGGCTCAAATTTGGGCTTGTTCTGCCTCAACCTCTCAAAGAGCTAGGATTACGGGCATGTGTCAGCATACGCAGCTCCATTCCCACACTTCTAGTGACATAATTAAGACAGATAGATACTCAGAGGTACAAATACTCAGAACTTTACAGATACTGCTGCCTCCATTAATGTGTCCTACTAATAAAGCTCCTTTGTCCATCATCAGAACAACATGACAAGCTGCGTGTGGTGGCACAGGCCTCTACCTCCAGAGACAAGGCAGGCTGAGGCAGAAGGATCTCAAATTCCAGCTCCCCGAGTGCTGGGATTACAGTCCACGTCTGTCCCTCCCCCTTCTTATGCTGCTGCAGCTGTATGAGGCCCGAGACTTCTTTAGCAAGAGAACACCGCAAGAATGACGCCAGCACAGTTCTGAGCCTGAGTCTTCATCAGGGCTGTACCTTTGGGAGCCCTTAACCATCGTAAGTCTGGCTACCATGCTTGAGAGCACATGGAAGGACCAGGCAAGTAAAAGAGGAAGAGGCTGAGCTGCTAGGGTCAGCACATAGGGTCTGCTGCCCAGGGCCCCCACTGAATGGCCCAGCAGAACCCAGCTAGCCCACAGGATCAAATGGCTTCATTTCAGCCACCATGTGCAGATGTTGACACACACGGGCAGATGACAATTAGGCTAGGAGTCACTTGGCATAACACTGTTTGGAGCAGGTAGAGGTTAGGAATGGATCAAAGAGCATCTCAAGACACACTTGGCCCACCTGACAATTATGTCCGGGTCTGCATGTATTAGCCATCTCTACTTTATAAGACATTTTAATAATTTAAAATCCAAGTATGAATAAAGCATCTTAGATCTACCCTTGACCCCCTTAATTTACCAATAAGGAAAAGAAGGTAAAAGGTCACATTTGCAATGAGCAGTGCTGCTCAAATTAGAAAGAAACCACCACGCCTTGTATGATTTATCTGAAAACACGCTAGGCTCAGAACCAGTTTTAAGTGAGACATTCAATGGATGCTTTGTTAAATGAGATAAAATCAATGTAAAAGCCTTACCTATCAAGTTTTACTTGATACAGTTTGAAAGTAACTGGAAGAAATATGAAAAGAACCACAAAACCCCGGAATATTAAAACAAAAAAATTATTGCCTTTGAATTGTCACTTACTTTCCACAGGCACTCCAAACCTTTCTAATATTCTTCCTACATGATTTGATTCTGTCATCAGTTCGCTGTTTCTGTTCTTCCCATGCGCTAGCTTCTCTTTCCAAATCCTGGATGAGCCAATCTAACTCTGTCTCTGAGACCTAAAAAAAATTTTAGAAAGTACTTGAATAAATGGCAAGATTTACTTAAAAAAAAAAACAAAAACAAAAACCCAAAAACCAAAACCCCCCAAGAGACTAGAGTGGTGACAGTGTCCTGGCTTTCACAGTGACTTACGTTTAGGGAACAGACTCATGAGCCGGTGCCCTGTGGCCCAGCCTACCCGGGGTTCCACACCACATGGCCGAGTCTGAAACACTGAGCGCAGGTGGCTACAGGAAGCCACTAGGAAAAATGCCGCTTCAGCATGCCCACGGGCACTTACACCCCACTCCCCACACACCACCCAAATCTGCAGGAGCTGGCGTGTATTTTATTTGGCAAGTCCTGTAGATTGTTTGCTTTTAATGATATAAATGTGACTCCTTGGGATGCTCATTAAGCGCATCTGGGTTGCATGCCTGCCAGGGCTTCAGGCAGTGTGACACGGAAGCAAAACTCTTTTTCTGTGCCCCAGGAGGGTGGAGTTGGAGGCCACAGGATACCCTTTACCACAGTCATTTCATTATGCAGTTTCTGCTTTCTGAAATGACCCAACTTACAAATACTCTAAAAGTTTTAGGTCCTTTTTGAAGTCCCATCCAGTCAGTGGTAACCAAGGGTCTGGACAGGCCACATGCTTGGTACAAATACCAGTAGTCACCTAAGGAAAATGTTCTCATGTATCAGTATTTCTCATGATTAATTTAAATGTGAACCAGATAATCAGAACACTGTTTAAAAGAAACAACTAACAGCAACATGTTAAGTAGTCTCCAGTTTCAGATTCCAGGATCATCAACGGCTACTGATGAAATCCTCACTCCTATCTGCTTTAGGGCATTCATGTCCAACCTTCTGGCTTGCCTGGGCCACACTAAGTAAAGAGGAATTGCTTAGGGCTGCATATACAATATAACATATATATATATATATATATATATATATATATATATATATCAGTAATGAAACTTCTGTTCTTATATTTTAACTTACTAAACTATTTTACTAAGTAACATGAGCCCAAATTTAATACTTAAGTAAGAAAACTTACATGTCTGGTAACAATAAACACCCGCCTGCATAGCACAGAGATGGGTGGAAACACTCGTATTGGTAACTGCTGTGTCCTACTGCTGAGCTGCACAAGTGCACCCAACCTTGGATATGGGTGGCTCTGACTGGACTGTGTGGCGGACATAGGAGGCGGAGGTGGTGATGCAGCATGCCCTCCCCTACACCAACGGAGTCCGAGCTCAAGCATCGCACACTCAAGTCATGAAAAAAATCACTAAAAATCAGTAATAATATTACAAATCTACAACCCCTTGGTGCCATGTTCCTCGCTGTCCAGGGCCGTACCTGGGCTATGAGCTGGACATACCTGCTCTAGGGAAAGCTGCAACTTCTCCCTTCCCATCAGGTTTCCTGTAGCTTTTACTTCCTGCCCAGGTTCCTGAGGACAAGGCTGCAGCTACAGAAACACAAGGCCTCTTCCTGAGGACAGTGCACCCCAAACCAACCTACTGGAACTCCTGACTTTGGGGGCTGTAAAAGGCAGAGGCCTCCTGTCCTCTGGCAGCAGAGGTTCATCAACAGTTCAGTGATACTCAGCTTGGAAGTGGGTCCCGCCCACATTTGCCTTGCTGAAACCTTGCTGGTCCTGAATGTGTGGAGTCATCACGGTGACCTAGGTGACTCCTTGCCTACTCTTATTTACGAGTCTGGCGTTGTACCCGGTTCAGTGCTACGACCAGGACCAATGTTGATTTGCTGGTCTTGCTACAGCGCCGAGCCTGTCACACTTCTTGCCCATCCTGTGTCCACTCAGAGCCCATGATCTCACCTTAGATTGGCTCTCGGCTGGGAGATTAGTGCAACCCAAGGTTATTCTGGGAAGTGAGAACCTGCTTGGCAATGAGCTCCTCAGGGAGGTCAGGTAACAAAAGGCATAAAATATTACAAATGCGTACACAGACACAGCTCAGGCAGAGGAAATACTACATGAGTTCACTTGCTGTTTTTACCCAACACCCTTTGATCACACAGTTGCTACATGAGTAATAAGGAAGTGAGCACAGCTAAGACATATCTACTTTTGTGTGAACAAAAACCAAGGGATTCAGATTGGCAGTTTATTTTGATAGGAAACATTTCACCAGGGAAGTCTAAAGATGTGTCAGGGGCCAGGGATATAGCTCAGCGGCACAGCACCTGCCTAGCAAGCTCAAGCTCGTGAGTTCAATTCCCAGTACCAAAAAAATAAAAAATTACAAAAAAAAAATATGTATCAAGCCTATACTCTGAGGGACTAAAGAACTGTCTCATTAAAATCTGGACTGACTATACCAGAGTACAGCCACACGGGGTAAGATCAAAAAAATTCAGTGTAGGGGCTGGGGATATAGCTCAGTGGCACAAGCACCTGCTTAGCAAGTGCAAGGTCCTGAGTTCAATTTCCGGTACCAAAAAAAAAAAAAAAAAAAAATCCAGTGTAACTTTAAATTTAAAAAAAATTTATTACAGCAAAAAACACACTGCATTAAACACTGCCCCTTGCTTTGAACACACTTACTCCATTGTTCTCACCACTTTCTGAAGAAGCTCTGGAGTCCTCTTTCATGAGTGTCTTCAGTTATGCCATCATGACCACTTCCATCTCCTGACTTGGTTCAAAATGTTAACCTTTCACAGGCATTTTACTTTGGGGAAGCACCAGAAGGCACCTGGTGCTAGATCTGGTCACTAAGGTGGATGAGGACACAGTGTCGTGTTTTTAGGAGCTTACCTTTCTGCCAGATTACATTTAGAAGGAGCAGTCACCACATTTTGATCATACCTTATAAAGACAGCCCCAAATGAAGATTTTAAGAGCTGCTTCAGGAAGTGGCAAAAACATGGAGTATGTGCTGTTAAGGGGGGGTTAACGGGAACGTGTTTTACTGTAATACGTTTTAAAAATCTAAACACTGATCATATACCCACTCCATGTCTAGCAGACCCACAGTGTACTAAGGTGAGAAGTCCAGGGCCAGAGAGCACCAGTCAGAGCTGCTCCTTCCTCCCAGGTTGCTTGCTTTCTTTTTTTTTCTCCCCAGGTTGCTTTCTGCCCCATAAGCATCCTGATCCAGCCCACAAATAACCGAGCCTTGAGGAACTGCACAGATACCGTACCGAGTGAAACCGCCGGTTTATAAAGCCAGAAAAGCCCCTACCAGAAAGAAAACTTCACTCACCAGACACCCTCTCAGTGACTGGTGCCCAGGCTGCCTCAGCACCCCCAGAGCCGACCTGGACACAGGCCCAGCCGTCAGGATTTACTAGAAGTGAACTCCCAAAGCAACGGAAGTCTACACCGACATTCCACTTTGTTGACCCTCCCTTTTTCCCTGAGAAATACAAAACAATGGCAAGGAGCAGCTGTGATTTACTGAGCAACCACAGCACTGCCTTAAGCACTTTTCCTGTGATAGCTTGTGTAGCCCTTGGTGCCTAGTACATGCCTAGTGCTCATCGAACGTTCCCTCTCGGTCAGAAGCAGGTTTTACATGTAGAGGAGACGGAACGAGCAGGGTCCTTGTTACAAGAGAGAAGCTGGCTGGGGACTTTGTTTATTCACACCTGCATCCCATGTGTTATGGGCTAGGCAGGTTGTGTGTGTGTGTATGTGTGTGTGTGTGTGGTGTGTTCCCCCTCTTCTAACTAGGCAACTGAGCAGAAAAATCTTTGGTTCCATATGACTCTTCCCATCTGAACCGCCCATGTCTCATCCTGAGGGTAAAGAAGTCCTGGGGAATGATAGGACCCAGCCGCCTTACATTTCCTTTCCTCCCAGTTTTAGTTACATTTCAAATAAATGAGTTTTTTTATTACAGTCTCACTAAGCTTATTTTTTATTGTTTAATATATGTTACTCCAGCTATTGATCCAGACTTCTAGAATAAATTCTTTCCTTTTAAAGTATATTCATATTTTTTTGCTACCTTTCTGAACAGAAGAGAGTAGTTTTTAGAAAAGAAACACAGGGCTGGGGATTTAGCTCAGCGGCAAAGCACCTGCCTGGCAAGTGCAAGGTCGTGAGTTCGTTTCCTGGTACCGGAGGAAAAAAAAAAAAAAAAGAAACACAGTGTTATTTTCTCACATCTATAATTCTACTGTCTCATTAATTCACTGTGGCCTTGCCCATAACTGGTACTACTGCACTGGTCAATCTCAACTAACAAAGTCAAGATCAGTGGATTCAAAGCAGATACTCTGTCTGACAGTTCTAATACACCTAAGGCTGCAGGAAGTCCCTTCATAATGCCAAAGGAGGAAGAGAAGATATCGTAATAACAGTAATAATTACAATAGCGGCAACTGAGCTCTCAGAACGCACCAGGCAGGGGCCAGGGTACCGGGGACTGAACCAAGACCTTGACACTCAGCTACATCTACAAACATTTTTACTTTTTAATTTCCAAATCAAGTCACCAAGTTGCCCAGGTTGGGCTCTAACCTGTGGTCCTCCTGCCTTAGGCTCCCAGAGTGCAGAGATTACACATGTAAACTACCATGTCCATTCCAGCACAGCAGGCAGTAAGTACTTAAATCCAACTTAAGTACTTTGCAGGTGGTAAGTTAAATCCATGGAGTTTCAGCAATTATTACCCAAATTTTCCAGAAAAGCAACTAAAGTGCACAACTAAAGAAGTTATGTACCATGCCCAAGACCAGGGCTGTTAGAACAGAACCACCTGGATCTGAACCCCACGCGTTTGGCTTCAGGACTCTTGGTCAGAACCTCTGCTAAGACACCGGCTCTCCACACTGATGAGAATTTAACTTGGAACTTAGTCACTAGAACAAGTTTTAGTTAACCAGGCAAACTAAGTAATAGATAAAGGAAAATTCCAGGTTATAACCCTTTTCTTAAAAGCAATTTGAGAAATCAGAGTACATTTTACTATCATTGGAGTACATTTTAGAGAAATGTCAGATAGACTCTTCTTCACTGTTTAGCCAGCAGGGCAGTTTCAGCTAAGATCTCGGGTGCTCCTGCATGCCCCATGCAATTAAGGAGGCTTCTGGTATGGTCACCTTGTTTTCTCCGAGATTCTTTTTCAGCTTTTCTTCCAGGATCCTGGTCTCTTCGGCGCTCTTGAGTTTCGTCTGCTCATAGTTTTCACATGCTTCCTTCAGTTGTTCTCGTAAGACATAGTACTCCTTTTCAATCTGTGAAATACCCCCCTAGAAGGAAATTATAAGACCACCTATTAAAACTCATTTAAAATGCCCACTTATGAACTGTTTCTTAAGCAAAGAGAATGAAAGGAAGATGAAATTTTACAAGGGCATGTCACAACAGTTCACAAATTAAAACTCCTAAACATGGTTCAGCAGGGTTAGCTCTTTTGAAAACACAATTATTTGTATCATTTAAATACATAATGAAACCTTTCAATCTGTACCATAATCAGTTCTGAATATTTATTGTAGTAGGATTCAGTACTGGATAAGCAGTTTCATTTGAATGTCACTCTCCAAAATGAACATCAGGAACTCTTAGGTTTTAAAAGTTGCACACCCTATACATATTTTAGATGTGACTAGACCTTTGACTCTTTGACTTTCTTTTAAATGTTTTACACAGACAGTTCCTGGTTATTTCAAAACAATGTATCTGTCATCAGTTATCTGTGTCTTGTACCAGCCTAAAAAACGAAAACCCAGAAACCATGCTGCAATATAAAATGCTGGCAAACAATACACATCACTTACGTAAGGCTTTTAAAAACCCTCTCATGCCGCTAGGACTGTAGGAACCACACACTTGTGTCTGAAAAAGGGGAGGCTGGAAACTTCTCCCAGCTGCTGGGCACTGCCCTCCTGTAGCACCCAGGGTGTGGGAATCTATCCCAGTGGCACAAATCTGGGCCATCTTCCACGTTTCCTGTACCACCTCCCAAATACACGAGCATCCTTCCAAGGCGAGGAATCAAATCTGTGAAACTCTAGAGTTTATCAGAGAACTGTGACCCTGGGCAGGGTTATCAGACATGCCAGTGTGCCTTGGAGAGGCTTCGTTTATGCCTGTCCAGACTGCGAGCTTAGCACTACGAACAGAGTCCAAGTTCAGATAGTGAACTGTCAACCTTACTATGACCCACAAGCAAGACCTTATGATTAAAGATCTTACTCTTTGCTTTCATTCTCAATTTGACAAAAGGGTCACAACGAGTGACAACCTGGTATCATAAATTAAGTTGTATACCCCAAGTCAGCAGTGGAGGTAGGCAGCAAGTTAAATGCTACCCCTACATTATTACATGTAAATTTCATCACATTTCTGTGAGAAACACATTATTTTTGCCTTTAATAGGTCAAGAAACCAGAGCTTGGGTGTGTGAGGTAACTCCTTAAAGCCCCAGGAAAGGGAGCAGCACTGGGATTCTAATGTAAGTCTCATGGTTAACAAGCTAGTGATCAACTCGACTGGTGTGCGGGGTCTGAAACCAAGGGCTAATCTAAGAAAGCATTTGTGAGTGCTCCCAACACGGGTGAAAGGCATGCTTTGTCATCCCTACGCCATTTTCATTTTGAGACAGGATCTTGCCAAGTCACTAAGTTGTCTAGGCTGGGCTCCAATTTGCAATCCTCCTGCCTCAGCCTCTCAGACTGTGTGCCAACACATCTGGGTCTGATGGAAAAGTTATTTGAGGATCACAAACATTGACTTGTTAAATAATGTAACTACCTGGTTTAGAGCTAAGTCAATGTAAGAACTCAATACCAGGAACTCCACTCACTATATACTATCCATAGCCAGAAATGTTCACAAGCACTAATTGTAAGTGTGAAAAGCTGACACAATCTACATGTTCAACAATAAAAAGAATAAACAAATTATCATACATTCACGACAGAATACCCAGTATGCAATTAAAATGACAGTGTGAGTCTAAGTTTGCTGACTAGTTGAAATTCACCAGAAGTCCATAATATATTAATCAAAGACTATAAATTTTAAATACAACTTGCTTGGTATGCTCCCACCTGCTAACTGTTTTGCTTCCTCATATGTGTACGTTCAATAACACCTAGAAGACTGTAGCCGACACACCTGGCTATTCCATTCTTAATATTCAAGATTTTTCCACATGGGATTTTTTTTTTTCTGTCTTGGTGATGGAAACTAGAACCCCACCCATACTAGGAAAATGCTCTACCCTGAGTTACATCCTCAGCCCCTTTTATTTTGAGACAGGGTAATGAAGTGGCCCAGGCTGGCCTCACACTTGCAATTCTCCTGTCTCAGTCTCCTCAGGAGCTGGAATTACAACCAGGAAGGCTTCACACAGGAAACTCAGAATCAATTTATCTAGTTCATAAATCCTATGCAGTAGCTAGCCTCCGGAGTAGGCCCCGGTCACACCCTTGTATACACCTCTCTACCACACATCTCTGTTGGCCCTGTGCTGTGCGGCCAACAGAATACATGGAAAATCACGGAGCCTGACTTTCCAAAGGCGTCCCAGAAGCCACTGGGCTATGTGGAGGTCCACCGGGCAAGAAGTGCAGCCTCCTGCCCTTGCCAGTGCCAACTTGCCAGGCATGTAAGTGAGCTGTCTCAGAGCAGGACCTGCAGCGCTAGTTACCTGCAGATGACTAAGGAACCTCAGGAGAGTCTCCAGAACCACCCCAAGAAACTGCTCCTGAACTCCTGACCAAGAGGAATGTAAGGTAATAAATACTGGTCGTTTTTCTAGGGCACGGGATTTTGAGGTCATTTGTTATATTAATGAACAGCTAGCTTGTTCACGTACATACTGGGATTGTGCTATACTTAAAAAAAGCTTTAGGGAAAATCCATCTCTTTATTATGATAGGTCTTCCAGGCCAAGAACAAGACCTTTCCATTTAAGTCTTCTGTGCATCTCTAGCATTTTGAAGTGTTCTTCACATAGATTCAAGTAGTTTCTCATTTTGTTGCTTTTAAAAAAAGACTCTTATCTTTTAATGTTGCTATACTACTATATGGACAGGTATTTCTTTTCTATCCAATCACCTTTCTGGATTCTTTTATTATGATGTGGATTTCCAGCCAATCAGTTTGGATTTTCCAGGTACACAGTTTTAAACTCTATAAGTAATCATATTTCTTTTCTATCTGTATTCTTTCTCATATCTAATTTTGTCAGTTAATATCTCCAGAGTAATAATAAACATTAACGGTGATGTTTCAACTTAAACAGGATAATGGCTTCTGGCTTAAGAGTAAAGGCTACCAATATGCTGAGAGATATTTATCAATTCTCATTTTACTATCAGTGTTGGTCAAAAAGTAGACTTTTATAAAATATCAAGGGTCTTTATAACATTTTTATGTCACTCATGTATTTAAGTTTATGTATAAGTTAAAACATGATCACTATACAAATTAAAACAAAACCATTACTCTTTGAAGTAAATATGCTAGAAAAATTTATCTTTTCCTTTGCCTCCTCTTCTCAAATTTCAACACTACAAACAAGTTTTTATTATATTCTAAAGTGTCTTCCATGATAACTTTCTATGGAACCAACTAGCTCCAAAATAGTTTCAATTCATCATTTCTATCTAGGTAAGTTAATGCGGATTACGTCTTCAGACAGCTCCACACGATTATGACTCACCTGCTGCACCTCCAAAGGACTGTATGGCTCCGTGTTGACTTCCTGGTGTATGATGGGCCAAGACACCTATGGGACAGAACATTTTAATTACCTCATTTGTTCTAGTGAAATAAGTAACATTTTTAAAACACGTCCACCATTTTTTCAAGGTTTTCTTCAAATGAGATTATGTTTCATGCTTTCTATCAGTATTTCCATTAGGAAAAATTATCATTTAGAATTAGTTAGGACTGAAATGATACTGGTTCTTTACTCTTATATGTATGTTTCATATAAACAAACAATTCGGAAGGGTACAATTCAACCAGGATTTAATGAACCCGCCGCCTAGAACGGTCACTGGCAAGGACTGGATCTAGCCTCACGTTGCTGGGAGGATCTCCTCTGTGGGTCGCTGTTAACTCTGCCTCTGGCTGTCTCTTTTTCACCTCTCCCACTCCTGCTCTGGTTCGGCAGGCAGAGCCGGGCAGGGGTTACCCAGGCTCTCCTCTCTCATCTCTCCGGGCAGCTGCCTGCTTGCTTCCTCCTTCCGCCTGTTCCAGTCTGGCTGCCACAGCAGAGTGAGCGGTGTGAGAAGGGCTTCCCTGTCAACACTCACACTTGCGGCTCTAACCCTTCTGAGGTGACGCTATGGCTCCACCTGCTGACTTTATTTCTCAACTGGTGTACAATTTGGGTAGGGCAAACTATTATTTACTGGACCCAAACTTCTTTCTGGCAAAATTACCTATCATACCCCACAAAAAGGTTCATATATTTAAAATATTTTCAGGTAAAACCTTGAGTAACTATTGTAAAAACCAAAAACATTTAAAGATTTTATTAAAAATAGCGGTAATGAAAAATTAAAAGGAAAACTTAGCTTCAGTGCAGAGAGTTCTTAGAATCTCACCTGTACAGCAACCTCCCGTGTGCGTGAGGCTCTTTCTGCAGTGAATTCCCGTCTGCTGCCAGAGCTCCCCAAAGGCGCCCTGCCTCTGTAAGTCTCACTTGGGTCACGCTGTGACTTTCCGGGTCTTACCCCAGAGTCGTCAGGGATCTGCGTTGCAGAGGTGAATGGTTTACCAGCAGCATTCAAATTAGGATCCTTATAATACAAAAGAGCATTTCTCTTTGCTCTGTCATTGGCCAGAAAAGGTGGCACCAGCGGGACTATGGCCCTCTGCCGGTGGTATTCAGAGGAGATGCCGGCTAACGGTGTGTACATGCTGGTGTACCGGGGCACGCCTGGCAGCACGTTCATGTACGCTGGTGGAGTCTGGCTGATACCAAATCCCTGGAAGGGAAGGTAGGTGCAGAATGTCGTGACCATGTGTGACTGAGCCCAATAAGCTGGTGTCGCAGCCCTAGGCAGTGGCTTGGGAGAATCACAAGAGACCCCTTCAGGCTTCTCAACTGCAGAAACTGGACTGGAAGAGCTCTCAGGCCCAGACTTGAGCTTCTTGTTTTCACAGACGGGACTGGGAGGGTCAGCAGGCGCGGGCTTGGGCTCCGCGTTCCTGGGCTCCACGTTCCTGGGCTCCACGTTCCTGGGCTCCGCGTTCCTGGGCTCCGCGTTCCTGGGCTCCGGGTTCCTGGGCTCCGCGTTCCTGGGCTCCGCGTTCGTGGGCTCCGCGTTCCTGGGCTCCGCGTTCCTGGGCTCCACGTTCCTGGGCTCCGGGTTCCTGGGCTCCGCGTCCTTGGGCTCCGCGTCCTTGGGCTCCGCGTTCCTGGGTTCCGCGTTCCTGGGCTCCGCGTCCTTGGGCTCCGCGTCCT